ACAGACATGCTCCTGGAGGCAGCAGATGATCCAGTTTGTGGATATGAGAATGTGGGCTGATTTTGCGTGACCTATTTGTTTGTCCTGAGGTGGAATTAGCTGAGACTGAGGATATAGGTTGTATATCAGACATAACTTCATCAATATTTGGGGATCTGGCAGCTCTCTAAACAGTAGGTTAATTTCTATTTAAGGCCTGATATTGACCAAAGAGAAACTTCTAGAGGTTTGTGATCCAGAGGGATGCAATTGTAAAGAATGCTTTATTTGTGGTAACTCATTTGGTTTTTTCAAGTTCCCACTGAAATATTCTGAATGTGATATAACAGAAGTTATTATTGCCAGGAGACTGGGAGTTATCAAATGAATTCATGGTGCTTGTGGAGTAGTATGTGAACTAATGAGCACATAGATGTGAGAAGTCTGATGACCTTGCTGATTTTGTTGCTGGCTTGTTATAATACAAGATTAGATTTAGAATAAGTAGTCAAGGGACTAAGTTGCAAAGACTGATAAAATAGTGAAGGGTCTTACTTCCACAATTTTTTTTTCTTTTTTTTATGTTAAATGTCCATGATTTGAAATCCAAGTTGAGAGAAGTCATTTGATTGCATAGACCAGAAATTACAAAATCTGAAAATTTACCTCTCATTCACTATAAATGTATTTGTATTTCTCTGATAGATATCTTCATAACATGAATCCATGTTGTTATATTTTTGTAACATGAATCTGAAAAAAACAACTTAAGGTTATTCAGGTAACAGAATTGCAAGCATTTGTGAGAATAAATTGCGATATCCAGTCAGAATGCTGTTACTAAAAGTTATGATATATAACCTAATATGGATAGAATTTTACCATAGATTGAATCACAGGTAATGTAAAAACCTGAGAAATTAACATTGATTTTTTTTTTTAATTTCAGATCATTATTGGGGTACACATGATCTGGTAATATAGTTTGCTCTTGTGTGGATTCAATCAGAGTTACAGGTGTGTCCTTGTCTCAGAAAGTGTGCAGTATACCAGTGCAATGTACTCATTAGGTGGGAACTAACCCAACTCCCTATCCCTGTCTCTCGTACTTATTTCATTGAACCATGTGAACTTATAGGTGTTGAGCAAATAGCTCCAATTTATTATTGAGTACACATGCTTGTTTTTCCATTCTTGTCATGTAGTAGTTTCAATTTTGTGGTTTCCATTTTGTAGTTTCAATTTCATAATATGACTAATAGAAAAGATTATTAATATATTTTATATAAACATAATACACAAATGAACATAAATTACTTCCAAACTGGAAATATATAAAGCATGCATACAAAACATATATCAATATAGGATTATTAATTTGGTTTTTGAAAATATAGTGGAACCTCTATAAGTTGACCACCCAAGGGACTGTAACAAACTGGTCAACATACAGAGGCAGTCAACATAGGAACTTGGCCTGCTATACTCATACATACATGGGCGCATGTCCTGTCTATGAAAATTAGGTCAACTTAAGAACGTGGTCAATGTAAGGAAATGGTCTACTAAGAAGGCTCTACTGTATGTTAAAATGAAATAAACACAAATAAATATATAGCTAACCAACATTAGCCATTCTTTTGGAAGGCTCAAAACTAGTTCTGATTACAAAAACATAAACATAAATTTTAATTCCATTTTTTCTAGATTTAGACAGCTTAGATTGGGTTTATCCAAACTTGATCTTTAAGGGTTGCATGGACGTGAGTATCTTGGAGTGACAGTTAATAAATATTCCCCAGTTTTTTGGTGCAATTAAAAATGATCAAAAGATTTCCATTTGATACAAACAATATAATTTAAAGTTTTTTTCTTGGTATCCCTGTTTCCTTTAATTTTTGTGTTAAATATCTTTTTTTAATCTTTCCTATTTCTTACTTTGGGGAAATATTCTGAAATTACTTCCTTCCCTGACTTAGTTTCACTGAGGCTTTAATCATTTACAAAAACAGTCCTATTAAAATAGAGACAATTAGTCATGATAGAGAATGAATAAATAACCATTTTAATGACCAGTTATTTTATATTTTCAATTTCTAGTATGCTGATATTTTTAAGAATTGATTAAAATCTTGTCCTTCTCAGAGACATTTGTTTTTGTTAAGAAAATCTAAAAATTAAATGATTTTTTTAACAAACATAATTAAATGCAGGACTTTAAGAATTAAATCAGAGAAACTAAGAAGATAAGTTTGGCAATGATGTATTTTGTGTCATTTGCCGTAGTTGAAATTGTACTAATTTCTCAGAGTAAATAACAACAAATATTCATAAATATATTTTGACAATGTAACTATGAGTTCTAGAACTTTATACATTATAATACAAGTAACATGATAAGAATATGGAAAAAGATTTAATGTTAAGATTTAGCAACCTAGTCTAAAGGTGAATCTTAAATATCTAGGCACTTTTAAGATTTAAGTTGGCACATTTGTGATTGAGATTTGTAAAAGTTAACTGCATGAGTAGTCAAGTCTCTTTCTCCCCCTATATCTTGTAAAATATAAATACAGCTTTTCAGAGACACTTGCAATGAACAAACTGAAGGACCCATTTTAGAATTCTATTCTGTCCTTGCAATATGAGCCCAAAGTCTCCAGTATTTTAGAGGTGTGTGGTGAGATAACCTAATTTCAAATTAGCCCATGTGTGAGATTTTCCGTTCAGACTTTAGATGTCACGTTGATGAGAAATCTACTTTTTCCACTCTTGCCTCACTCTGAGCCTCACAGGGCACTCTGTGAAGATCACAGACATTATTTGTTCATGTCCAGAATTGGTGCCTCCAAATTTCATCTTTTATTTCTCTGCTACCCTAGGCCTTTTTTAATGAGAGTAATCTGACCTCTGCACCGAAGGATGCATGACTTTCTGGAGACAGAAGGTATGTGTTGCTACTCTATCTCTCAACTAGCCTACCTCATTTGGGGGAAGATTCCAAGTACTGGCGTCTGATGCAACTGAGGTACAATTAATGTGCAATGAAACCAAAGTAGACATGTATTTCTTTATTTGAATAATTCAGGGAAAAAACCTGAAATATAAAATATGCTGAAGAGTTCCTAAGTTTCCAAACTGTTGCCTGTGGAGACCTAGTCAAGAGCATATCCAGGGGTCCTCAAACTTTTTAAACAGGGGCCCAGTTCACTGTCCCTCAGACCACTGGAGGGCCGAACTATAGTTTAAAAGGACAGGCGGTGGCAAAAACACCCGGCAGGCCGACTAAATATCCTGCACGGGCCTCTTGTGGCCTGTGGGCCATAGTTTGAGGATGCCTGAACTATATCTGAGTTAGTCAGCAAACATAATTTAAGAGAGACACCTAAACATCTTAACAATGAACAATTAATTTCGGATTAGTGATTATAACTTTGTGTATCATTGAATTATAAGATAATTTATATTAAGTTCAGCCATGTCAAAATAGTAAAGGAATTACTTTAATGATGAAGCCAAATGTAATTCCTCAGACACTTATCCAAACAGTATAATAGTAAAGTTAGGGCCAGATAAATTATATAAAATGCTGAACCTAGTCATAATCAAAAGCCATAAAATGTACACACTGATAACTTGTAAGAAACTTGTCTAATGACTTATTTTCCATGTTAACTGACATGAAATCAGAAATGATAACATAGCAATTGTGAATAATTTAATAATTAAAATCTCTAATATTTATAGAGAACTTTAAGTACAAGTTTGAGTGGTAGATGTTTTACATGCATTACATTTTGTAATTAGATTAACAAACTAGGTTATCAGATACCACTTAACATTTTAAAGGTCATACATTGTGAGTTGCAAAATCAAAACCAATTCTAGCTCTCATTAACTCCAAGCCAATTGATTGAAGTATTTTATTACATTGTATGAATTATTACAAATACACAACTAAAGATACCTTTATCGATATAAACAAAATATCTTTGTTGAAATTTAAAACAAAAATATTCTATAAATCATTTACATTTTAACTTATATTTTATGGTTTTATATTTAAGCAATAAAATCAACTGCTAATATCACCATAGAAGTATTAAAATTTTTTTATATTGTTTCTATTACTATTTAGTATGCATAAATTAATTATTGTCATGTACATATCCTAAATAGTTTAGTGATTTCTCAGAAACTTTCAGGCATTCAAACAAAAGAACACTTCTGAACCAAGAATCCATTTGGTAAACAAGTGTAAGGAAAAAGTATTAATAGTTTAGTGGAAGAGAATAAGTTGTATGTCAGCTTTCCTATTCTCTATTTTACAATTACGTGGTGTTTAACCATTTTAGACTTTTGAGATTATCATAAATCAGGGTATAAGTTTCTGTAGTATGACGTTTTAATTTTTGATATTGGTATTGTTTTGATGTTAATTGTTTTTTAAATAAGACTTTAATAAGCATATTTTTATTCATGGACTTTTTTTTATTCCTTACTAACTTACAGCTTTTCATTGTTCTGGCAATAGTGATTTGACAAATACAGAGAATCTTTTTGAAAATATTTTACCCTAAGACAGTTAAGCTCTAAGGATGTTACAGTGAGAACTTTAGATTCTTCAGTGCAAAATAAGACCCAATACCCTCTCTCCACTACATTTTTTTTTTTTGAGACAGAGTCTCACTTTGTCGCCCCCTGTAGGGTGCTGTGGTATCACACAGCTCACAGCAACCTCAAACTCTTGAGGTCAAGTGATTCTCGTGCCTCAGCCTCACAAATACTTGGGATTATAAGCAGCAGCCACAACGCTGGACTATTTTTTTTTTTTTTAGAGACAGGGTCTTACTCTGACTCAGGCTGATCTCTACCCAGTGAGCTCAGGCAATCCACCCACTTGGGCCTCTGGGAATACTCCACCACATCCTTTTTGACTGGACTAGGATATTTTCTTTATATAAACTATTTATTAATTTTTTAAGACAAAGCACAGTCCCTGAAATTGTACAGCTGCACGGATGGATAACCAAAGAGTGATCTACTCTGACATAAATCAGGCTCAAACCCAAAAGAAGCAGCAAAGGAAACCAATGGGCACTAAAAGTTCCGTTTCAGAACACGAACAAGAAATAACCTATGTGGAGTTAAACCTTCAAAGAGCAGCTCAGGATCATCAAGGGGATGACAAAGCTTACCACTGCAAAGGTAAAGCTCTTACTAGTTCCTCAATGCAACTGTTCTAGGATGCACAGTTGGGTGAAGGAGTGTGCAGGGCGTGCTTGCATGGTTTTATTAATGAAGATCAGAGTTCTAAGTTGAGATGTGATATTTTCATATGAAATATGCAGACAAATTTTACTGGCATGTTGTTGAAATCTATAGTCTTTGTCCAATAACTCCTGGAGAGCTGCATTTATTGGAAATGCAATGGGATGTGTATCTGAGAGAAAGATTACTACTGGAGGTACCGGTAGTCCAAGTTTATTTATGATTCCCTGCAAATGTGGGATCTCTTTTATGCAAATATTCTAACAACCCTCACTAGCATTCCTCTCTCAGTGTGTCTGTTTCTCTTTTGGCAGATTTACTGTTACCTGCAGAAAAACTCATTGCTGGAATCCTGGGAGTTATTTGTCTTGTTTTAATTTCTATGTTGGTAACAAGAGTTGTCATTCCCTGTAAGTGTTTTGGAAGAATCAAAGGGAACTTTGACACTTAATGACAGAATGTGCCTTTTAATTTCATAATATCAAGGAATAGAATTCACATTATAATGCATATTGTAAACTCAATGAGGAATGCTTATTTTCAACTTTTCAAAGGGATAAATGAAAGAATAATTGAACACACTCTCTGCTTTTAAATATATGCATATATTAAAGTTTCATGACTCCAAAACATGTTTTAGGAGACTGAAAAAGCTCACCAAAAAGTAGAAATAATTTTTAAAATGTTTAAATCCTGTACTTAGAATATTGTGATATAGAAGTGGACAGAGATGCTGAAGTTTGGTTTTGTAGGTTGTGGATATTTCTTTCCCCAAACATTCATTAGTTCATTACATTTTTTTCCTAAAAAAAAAACTTTATCCACATATTTCTAATTCTAAATGATTATGACTTATTTACACACTAACTTTTAATAAAGTATTACTTTTTCTACCTTCTTCAGCAACACAGAAGTGGAACAATTCTTCCCAGACCATGAGAACTCAGAAAGGTACTGATAATAATCATTTTTTATTTTGTCTAGATCTTAGGTTGTATAAAAATAGTAATAGATATTTTGGGGAAAAATAAATTAAAATATGAGACATTAAACTCTCATAAATAAAGATTGTAAGAGGGCATTCCCTTTTCTCTAAAAATAAATAAAAATAATCATTTAAATCACTAAACCTCTTTTGCTATTTGACTCAAATTACTACTGCTGTCATATACTACAGTTAATTTTGCCATTCCAAAAATATACTTTTATCCAATTCAGTCATTTTTCAGATATGCATGCAGGGTGGATGTATGTTCATTGTTTTGCTTTATAAAGTAATAGAATTAGGAAATAAGAGATTCTTTTCTGTGCATGTGTGTGTGATTGGTTGTTCATTTATATTTATCAGGCTGTGAGAAAGTAAATACTTGTACATATAATTTCAAACCTTCAAAAATATGTAAATTATTTTACATTTTAAAAATTTATATTTCTTCCCAATAGTAGGTTATAATTATTTTATTCTCAGCTTATCCTTGTAGTCATTGTCCAGAGGAGTGGTTCACACATTCTAACAATTGTTATTCCATTGGTAAGAAACCCAAACCTTGGAATGAGAGTTTGATGGACTGTGCTTCTAAGAACTCTACTCTGCTTTATATAGATAATTTGGAAGAAATGGTAAGATGTTAAATGTTTCAAACACTATTTTAAAAGCTTGTTGCAGTCAGTATTACCTTCATAAAATTCATCACATCTTGCACATATTTTATTTTAATTATATTCACGTTTATTTGATATTCTATTGTTTAGCTTCACAGTAGTTTATGTCTATTCATACACTGCTAATGCACACTTAAATATTATAAATTGTGGATTCTCCCAGAAAATGATGCTTCCATGAATGCTTTTATTCTAAACTAAATTTTATTATTTAATTGTACTAGATGTATATAAATGGGTCATGACTGTGCAGATTTATCATAAAGTGAATAGAGTCTTGGAATACAAGTCAGATCATGAAATAAGTTTCTAGCCCCGGCAGCCCTGCCTGCGTGCATGCCCTCATCACTTCTCCTCCCTCCTCTTCAAACCCTTGGATTGGCATTAAATATTACTACAAAACTTTACCTGCTTTTGAATTTTGGTAAATAGAATCATACAGTATGCACTATTTTGTCTATCTTCTTTCACTGCCATTTTGATATTTGATTGTAACTCATTCATATTAATACAGTGAAATGTAGTTTGTTAATTTTTATTAATGTATTAGATACATGTAACATTTAAAAATCCATACTATGTGGTGTCCTTGAGTGGGAGAAGTGAGTCTTATACCCTTAGAGATACAGAGGGCTCATGGATGGAGCACTTGTAGTCATAGAACACCTTTGCTGGTCCCCACAACCACCCTGATGTCTCTGGTGGCAAAGCAGAAGCTCTTCCTCTGGCTGCTTACTGTTAGCAGGGCTCCTGATAAGTCACCCTTGCTGGTGTTGCCAGCCTTCCTGGTGTTGTTGGCAGGACTCCCTCTCAACACAGAGGGGGAAGGAGCTTATCTGAGACACCAGGTTGGGTGCTGGGAAACAGCAAGCCAGGGTCATTTTGTCTGTCGGTCAGGAGACTTCACATGGTTAGCCACCGTATTGAAACCTGTACTGGGGATCCCAAACATTCTACCTTTCTCTTTCCACCTTTCAGAATGCTTTTTGCTTGAGTCCTTCATACATTTCAGAGTTTACAGTTATATTTAGTAGGAAATAGCACCTATTTTGGACTATTTGTGTTCCACTGATAACAGACAAAAGTGCGGATTTAGCTAATTAAAGAATGGCGTGGTGCTCAGAAAACCGTGTTTTTGACTTACAGAGCATTTATTTTCTCTATGACAGCCCTTTAAATTCCCTTCTAAACCCCAAACATTGAGAAATATAGCAGAAATGTACATTGATTTAATATAAGCTCCAGAAGAACTCTACATACAGTGACAGGAAGTTTATTTAAATTCATATTACATTTATTTTGTCAATATGGGTTACTGTTACATTACGTGGGTCATAATTTTCCTCATTAATGTAAGACTAAGGGAAACTACTAAGTATAAATATTTGAGTTCAATTTCACCAAAAATTACAAAATTTTGTGGATGTTTTTGATAATATCGTAGATAGTTTTCAACTTTGATATATTGTTATATATTTGACTTTGATATATATTTGATATATATTTTGACAATAATAGATCCCATGTAAAAGAACAATACCTGAAATTTTAAATTTTGAAAAAAAAACTTATATGTATTTGTTTAAATGTAAAATATTTATATTCCTATAGAAATTTCTGGGCTCCTTGTCACAACAGTCTTGGATTGGAGTCTTTCGTAATAGCAGCAATCATCCATGGATGTCAATAAATGGCTCAACTTTCAAATTAAAGTAAGTTTTTTTGAATGGTACTATATAGTGAAAAAATATACAAAAGGAGAATTCTGAATAATAATATGAATAAGCTGAGCTAGAGACATGAGTAATATCTTAAAGTTGGTGAAATGACAATAAAAATCTTGAATGGACCACAGTAGTCCCCTCTTACCAGTGCTCTCACTTTCTATATTTTGAAGCAACTGCAGCCAACCAGGCTCAAAAACTTTTGAAATGAAAATTCCAAAAGGCAACTTATGAGCTTTAAATTTCTCAGTGTTCTGAGTAGCATAAAGAAATTTCACACTGTCTCACTTTGTCTGGCCTAGGAAGTTAATCATCTCTTTGTCCAGTGGATCCTCACTACAGAGGGCCTCACTCATTAGTTACTTTGTAGCCCTCTGGTGATCACACCAGTTGTCATTGTATCCCAGTGGTTGTGTTCAACCTTCTCATTTCACTTGACAATAACTCACAAGCCCAAGAGTAGTGATGTGGGCAGACAGCATAGTTATTGTTTCTAATGCCTTCTTGTGCCTAATTTATGAATTAAACATCATCAAAAGTGTTTATATATAGAATAAACATAGCACAGAGCTATGAAGTATGTAGTTTCAGGCATCCGCTGGTGATCTGGAAACACACCATATATAGAGATAGGGGACTGCTATATTCAGATTACATATAACCAACACTTACTAATATTATATTAGAATATGATTAACTGTTTTCATAAAATGCTTCCTTTAAAGTCATGGAAAATGCTCTTGTTTCATGGATTGTCTCCATAACAAAGGATGGATTTTTCTCCATTACAGCATATCAGAAGCACACTATGGCAAATATAGCTGTGTTTTTCTAAACTTCCATAGTCTTCGGACAGATGATTGTGGATCTTCAAAAAGCTATCATTGTAAGCTCAAGCTTTAAAAGTAAAGTACCTGACGGCAGCCCCTGTGGCTCAAAGGAGTAGGGCGCTGGGCCCCATATGCCAGAGGTGGCAGATTCAAACCCAGCTCCAGCCAAAAACTGTAAAGAAAAGCAATAAAGTACCTGAGCTTGGAGTTGGCCATGTATTCTATGTTTAGTTATATGAAAATAATATTATGATTGCATAAGACAAAGTGAATTGTGTGTGTTAATAATGAAAATATTTTAAAAAATAGTATTTATGATATAATACAGATACCACATAGGATGTCATTGCTCTTGGGTCTGGCTCTTTTTGGTTAACATTGTGTTTGTTAGTCTTTGAACAAGTTGCATGTCATGTTATCAACAAACTCATAGAGAAACAAATTGGAATAATGTTGGCCAAAGAGTGAGAGAGGGGTTGGGACAGGTAGTGACCACTAATTGCTGTATTTTTTCTTTGTGGGGTAATGAAAATTTTCTAAATGTTGAAAGTGTTTTTTTTTTTTTTTTTTTGAAAGTGTTTTTTTGGTGTAACTCTTTTTGTTGTATAATGAATGAATGTATCCACTTTAAATGAATGAAATGTATGCTATTTACAAGGCATTTCGATAAAAGTGATTTGAAAACAGTTCTGCTAGGATTGTATTTGGAACTGCATTAATCCCTAAAGTCATATTTCAAGATTAGGCTTCTTTATAAAGTTGACTTTTACAATCAGTATTATTCTATGTCTGGCAATATATTAGGTTCCTTTAATTTTTCTCTATTATATTTTGTATTTTTTGTTATTGAAGTCACATGGAAACATAGATATTTCACATTTATGTTTTTATAAATAGCATCCTTATTTTAAAATTACCTTTAGTAATTCTGTTGCCATAAATAGAAATACAATTGATATTTTTATATCAGTCTCGTTATTCAGTTACTTCACTGATTTTATGTATTCTATAATTTCAAGTAGAGGATTTTTCTGGATTTTCCACAAAAGCTACTATTTTCTCTGTAATAATCACATTGTTATTTTTTTCAGTGTGCCATAAATTTTATTTATTTTCACAGTCTAGGTTTTTAATTTCAGTGGTGAAGAGAAAACACATAATAAGCCAGGCCCAATGGCTCGTGCCTGTAATCCTAGCACTCTGGGAGGCCGAGGCAGATAGATTGCCTGAGCTCACAGGTTTCAGACCAGCTTGAGCCAGAGCAAGACCTTGTCTCTAAAAATAGCCAGCTGTTGTGGCAGGCACCTGCAGTCCAAGCTACTTGGGAGGCTGAGGCAAGAGAATCACTTGAGCCCAAGAGTTTGAGTTTGCTGTCAGCTGTGATGTGACAGCACTCTATCAAGGGCAACAAAGTAAAATTCTGTCTCAAAAAAAGAAAAAAGAAAGAAAGAAAATACATAATGGATCTATACACATAATCCATATTATTCCTTGTTTTTGATTATATTTTAATATCTCATTCATATTTATGGAGGTTTTATCATAACTGCATAATATCCAAACAGTTTTAAAATATTCTCATTTTTCTAATAATTTGGCTTTGAATTAATGTTACTTTTCAATATTTGTGTATCAGTGAAGTGATATATGTTTTCTATGTATAATGTTTATAAACTAAAGTTTTTTTTTTTTAATGTTAAACAAGTCTTGTGTTTCTGAGATAAAACCATACTGGTCATTCTGTATTGCCCCTTTAAAATAATAAGTGCATGTATCATATTTAGAATAAGATTTATTTCTTACTCTATTAGAGTAAGAATTTCAAGGAGATTCTATTAGGTTTTTTTTCATTGCTACATACTTGAAAAGTCTCACTGTCAAGGCTACACTGGAAAGCATTCCTTTATTGAAAATCTGGAACCCTGTGTGTGGAAATACTGTTTATTAATCATTAGTGATTTCATCAGAGTTTATTGAACACATTGGTAGGAATGTTACTATAACAAATCCAATCTTTTTAATACATATAGGTTTTACTCAAGTTTCTATTGCTTTACTACACTTGGTAATTTGATTATTTTAGGAATCTGCATTTCATAAGGACATTAAATTCTATTTAATGTGATTTTAACATGGTTTTATTTTAAGTTTGATATCTATAAAGACCACAACTATTCGCATACTTACAAAGAGGTGGCCAACATATAAAGAATATTTTGTAAATATTTTGTAAAATGTTGTAATGACTATTTTGTAAATAAAAGTAAATTTATATTTCCCATTTTCCTTATGTATGGCAACTTTAAAAATAAAATATTTGTACCTTCTGTGTTTCTTTCTTAAATAGTCTTATAACAATTCTATTGTGTGTTTTCAATATAAAATATCTTTGGCATGGTCCTCTTTACTAAGTGTGTCTCCTGATTTTATATTGTTTATTATTCTCTTTCTTCTTCTTCAGTTGTATTCAATTTAACTCCAGCTTTTCTCTTTTTAATTTCTTTTGATGCATGCTCAGATAATTCTATTTCCAATTTTATGTTTTGTAGTAGATGAATGTAAGTCAATCAGTTTTTCATAAGAAAGACATTTATTTCACTCATAATTCATACAAGTTGTGACTATTTATAAAGTAGCTTCTTTGGGTTTTAATTTTTAGCAAAATATGATAGAAGTAAAAATAATATACTCATCAAGTGAAGCAGTGGGAGTGGAGAAAGGATAAAGGAACCTGTAACTGGCTGTAATCAATAGTTGTAAACACCACTGCACTCAGACCACCCAGAATTAAAAATAATATAGATTTTCAAACTTTTAATTATTGATTTCTATTTGTATAAATTTTCTTATAGCTTTTTTTGTTGCCATCATGCACTTACATTGGCAGCCCTGTACAAACAACTCAGTAAGGTTTCATAATGTTGGGATATCAAGTATCTTACAGTTGTGTTTGTGTTGATGTGTGGTGCTGATGGGCAATCATTAATGTTGCTGCATGCTTTTGTGTGCTGTCACAAGAATGTAGAGCTTATACTAGAGCAACAAACAAACATGTGTAAATTTCTTGTTAAACTTGGCAAGAGTGGAAGTGAAATTAGAGACATGTTAGTCTGAGTTTATGATGACAAAGGCATGAAGGAAATGGCAGTGTGCCAATGGATTAAACATATTTTGAGAGGAGAGAAAGTGTCACTCATGAAAAGAGGTCAAGAAGGTCACTAACAAGAACTGATGAAAACTTGCAAAAATTCATTCAATTGTGTGTGTGTCAAAATTGTCAGTTGACTATGACAAGCATAGCAGACCAAGTAAACATCAATAAAGAAAGAAGAAAAAAAAATTTTATAGATACCATATCATCTTTATTTATTTTTCAATTTGTTTTTTATTTCAAATTAACACAAAGATACAAATTTTTAGGTTACATTGTTCTCACTTCCAGGATAAAGTACCATTTTTAAAAGAGCACCTGACCCAGGTGGGCATATTATACACCCTCACAATGTGTACAGTAGATGAGATCCTGCCTCATGCCCTCCCTTATTCTGCCAATCATCCTCCTCCCGGCCCCCTCCTGCCTTCCTCTACCACCATACTAGACTATATTTGTGTTTTATCGGTCTTATAAGTATGTCATTGTGTATATATTGATTTCATATTAGTATGGAGTATATTAGTATTTATTTTCCATTCTCAAGACACTTTACTAAGAAAAATGTATTTCAACTCCATCCAGGTTAATGTAAAAGATGCAAAGTCTCCATCTTTTTTAATGGCTGAATAGTTTTCCATGGTATACATATACCACAGAAACATGAAAATCTAAACTGAAATTATTGACCAACAACTAACTCATGGCTATTACATCATGACAGTTCACACAGCACCATCTATAATGGACCTTTAAGCCAGTAAACAAAGAACTGTATTGAAACACCCTCTATACTCACCTGATCTGGCTCCCATTAACCATTTATTTACCTGAGGATAGATAAAATAAATATCAAAAAGAAGACATTTTGGTGACACTCACAACATTGAGGGTAATAGAACAACAGCTTTGATGGCCATTCCTGAAAAAGTTTGAAATGGCTTTGATGGATAAACTAGACCCTGGCATTAATGCATAGATTCCCAACAGGAGTACTTCCAAGGTGACTATAGTGATATTCAGCAATGAGGTACATAGAGCACATTTTGAGCTCTTTTCATTCCAAATGAGACTTAGGAAATAAAATACTATAAAAAGGAGAATAGAGAATACTCTATTATTTCTAGACCTGTGAAATTTGTTCATATTTTATGGGAATTGCATTGAGCTGGCAAATTACTTTGGGTAGTACGGACATTTTAATGATATTGATTCTGCCAATCCATGAACAAGGGATGTTATCCCATTGTTTTGTATCACTTATGTTTTCTTTCATCAGTGTTTTGGAGCTTTTCTTATAGAAATAATTCATCTTTTTGGTTAAGTATATTCCTAGGTATTTTATTTTCTTGGTAGCAAAAAGTGAATGGCATTGAGTACTTGATTTGTCTGTTTACTTGACTGTTATTAGTGTACAGAAATACTATTGATTTGTGACATTGATTTTGTAACCTGAGACTGTGCTGAATTCATCTATAAATCATGTTAGTCTCATGGAATCTTAGGTTTTTCTAGACACAAGATTATCTGTCTACAAAAATTGATATGGACCAAAAAAGACCCAAAATAGCCAAAGCCATCCTAAGCAAAAAGAACAAAACTTGAGGAATAACAATACCTGACCTCAACTTCTACTACAAAGCTGTATTAAACAGAAAGGCATGGAATTGCTGTAAGATCAGACACATAGGCCAATGGAACCCAGAGAACTCAGAAATAAAATCTCAGATCTACAGAAAACTCATTTTCAACAATGGTGCTGAGAATATATGTTTGGGGAAAGACAGTTTCCATAAATTTTGCTGGGAAAACTGGATATCCATATGTAGAAGAATAAACTAGAGCCTTATCTCTCATTACACACAAAAATAAAATCCAAATCAATTAAAAATGAGGCAAGATAGATGACTAGACACGTTGTT